TATTGAATCATAAAAAAGAAAAGAAGGCATTGGATTTTGTGAATTCGGTAAATTGATTGAGGATTGATAGATTAGACCAAATGAATTTTGTCATAGATTTCTTCACTCAGTACACTTCATTTCGAAACATCTGAAATATAAACTAGGTGCTGCAAAACAAAAGATCTTCGGAAGATCAATTTTATGTTATAAATTCAAAGATCACTAAAAATATTAGTTTACTCAATCCTTAATAAATTTTTTAACCACCATTCTTTACAAGATATTATTATCTTCCGCCTGTAGTTTTATGAAATTTTTAAAAATTTTGGTTCATTTTTTTTTCTGAATGACTTCAACCAAACATTCAGCACTAATCGTCATTCCTTATGGAGTAATATAGTTAACAAATTTTTCGATCAATTTCGTTCATGCAATAATTATTCAGTAAAATATGCACTGACTTTGATTTTTATAATTATTAAAAAAAGGGTTTGCATTAAGCTTCGTAACTTAACAGTTAAGCTTACATATTTTTACGAACGTAAATAGTAAATTGTGTTACAAAATTTGAAAAAGTTTCATTCATTGATTTACTCGATAAAAACAAAGATCTTTGAGGAAGTATATTGATATTGTTATTCCTAATTTTCCAAGGACTAAAAGTAGTCTTAATTTAAAAATGTTTTTATTGATGTTTAATATATGCAACTTGGTCGGGCCGAAAAAAAAGTGTCGGTCCCGTGATTGTTATGAGCGGAACTTGAATCTATAAACATCGACAATTAACACTAATTTCTGTTGTTTATAGATTCAAGTTCCGATTATGACAATTACGGGACCGATACTTTTTTTTTTGCCCGACTAAGTCGCATGTTTAATCTGATATTAAAGCGTACATTAGATAGTTCTACATTGGTTATATGATGGTACTTTTTTAATTTTCGGCGTAACCGTTTTCGTTTAACTGCTAAAAATAACTCCCATACGTTTTACCTAAATTTACCTAATACGTACTGTACTTTATGATTTGTCAATGTATGCAAAGAATCTCGGATGACTAATTTTGGAAAATTCATTTATTATTTTCATTCATAAATTACCAACGTATATGTATAGAGAGGATTCGTTCGTTAAAGAAGAAATAGAAGCTGCATCTATAAAATTTGCTAAACATTCTTAAATAAGAAAACATCGGTGTATGTTGTGCGTAAACATTAATTATTACAAAAAATATATAAATAATTTTCACAGTACTTACAGTATTTACAGTACTTACAATATTTACAGTGTTTACAGTATGATTAAATGTCATACGTATATGGCGACAAAAAGAAAAGGACTGCGTATGATATTACTGTAACGCAGTCTGGCATTGGTTCTTCATCAGATTCAAATATTTTTAAATTCTAAGAATTTAAGATTTTCATATCGTCAACGCTAAAGAAAATCAATTCCTTTTCGGCGTTCTGCTTTTACATACATTTGATTAAAAGATAGCACAACCTAAATTCATTTTAATTGTTGGAGAGTATAAATCATGATATGTGTACAGTTAATCGTTCACAGAAGATCCATCATCATGATAGATTTTCCTAATTGTACACAAAATATAATTGAAGTCCGATTACAGGTTTTCTTTTGATGGCACTCAAATGAAAGGCCATAAAAAAAAAACATTACCTTTATAAGGAAACTATTATATATATATATATTATGTTTCATAAACTAAATAACCAATAAACTTAAGTGTTTGAGGTGTCTTCATCTTTAAATAATTTTCCAAAAATTTTTGCAACCGCTTTATCTATTGGATATTCATTTAACTAATTATAATTCACAAAAGCTTTATAATGTAATGTATTGATATATCATTAACGTAGTATTAAATTATTTAGTAATTTATTGTTAACTTTTGCTTTTGTTTACGTTTGAAATTAATAACAATTCATTATTCCATTGTTTGTCTTTTGGGTTATATGTTTGTTTATTTTGTCGATCTGTTGCATCACATGCAAATATGTAATACTATTACGCAAAGTTGCATTGCCTATCTATTTACTACGCCGACAATGTACGCACGTGCGTATATAAGTACTGATACTCATGATACTCATGTTTCCCATGTGATAGGTTCATTGCAGGGAAAGCATGCTGTATTAAAGTTTGCGCACACTTCAAAATATAAGTTGAAAAATGCACAGACTGTGTACCTTATCACATAAAACAGACTAAGTTTAACATATTTTTTTTTATTCATTAATGTATAAACCCTTTATTTTTGAATGGTACAAGAGTCCAATTTTATTTTTGTGCGGTATTTATATTTTTTGGATATTTGTTTCTGTTTTTTTTTTTTATTTTGAACCTCTATACGTAATAGACTTGGCATTGATACGAACGTATGTTCGTACGTACGTTTACATTCTATTAGCCAGAATATTATTTTATTCCTATTTCTGTAAAGAAATTACCATGTGGAAGTAAATAACTATTTTCAGCCCAGGCTTTATCCATTTAAAATTTACAGTACTTTAATCTATTAATTAGGCCGTTCGAAGTTGATTCTTCGGTTAACATCATCCCCCCTCCCTCCTCTGAAGTCTCCCCCCGATAAACGAACAACCAATCAAAACGCTGGATAACTTTCGCCAATTACTTGATTTACGTCGACCAATGAAATTGGCCCATTTTTATATGTTCGTTTCATTTTACCCCCTCCCCCCTCCCTCTCCCAAGAGTTCTAAAGGTGATGTTAACCGAAGAATTAACTTCGAACGGCCTTATTACCATAAACATACTATATTTCAAATAAAATTATATCCACGTGTAATTATTGGATTATTATTGATGTATTTATCAAACATTATTCAATGTCTTCTAACATTACTGTTTTTTCAAATATTGTTACAACGTGATAATAAAAGAGAAAATTCGATTTTGCGATCCTGATCAATTTTTATTATAGTTCAATTAATCTGTGCAGATTTATTATCTGAGTAATAATGACGAGACTATGGCGTAAATTGTCAACAGTTTTATTATCAACAGTTTTAAATCCAAGGAGTTAAAGAATTGTTCAAAACAAAAACAAATTATACATCGTATATATTAATTAATAAATGAACTTATGTGTGCGAATGATTGGCATCCTATTTATCTAGTATCCTAATTATCTAGAGAGGAATGTCTTGTAAACAAAAATATTATGATTTACACCAATTATTTTTTCATATTAAGTTCATGTCACGTAAATAATCATAATAAATACTTTATCAATTTCACTTTCATTTTGAGGAAGCTGTTCAATTTCATTTGAGAAAAGTTAGATTGAAATGCGTCCTTGGAGTACTACAGAAACTGCCTATCTTTCAAAGCTTAGTGAAAAACATGGCCGTGGTTGGAAAATTATATCTGAATTACTTGGACGAACTCAGAAAGAGTGTTACAACAAGTAAATATTCGTTTATTGAATCATGGTAAAGAGTTTTTTTTTACTAACTGCTAACTTATTCATTAACCACTTAGGTATTTAGAACTTACTCCGGGTTTCAGACGGCCAGCGAGAAATGCTTATCGGAGAACATGAAAACTCCTCTATCGTATTTTTTATTTGGAATTCACAAATTACGCATATATACCTTTCGTTACTCAGTTTATTTAATATTTCTAATCATAATTGTAATCACAATCGACATTCTTATTTTACGTAAAATCACGTTTAATGTTACCGTACAATGATACGTTTATCATGGTTTCATTTATTACAAAATATTTTTATAAATAGAAAGTAGTTGGCAAGACGGTTAAAACAAATGGTTGTTGTTGTTGTTGTATTGATATATTTTATAAATACTTCGTGTACAATTAACAGTATAGAAGTCTCTGGTAAAATAAAATACATCTAAAAAATTCGTAAATAATTAGATAAATATTTCATTTCATTATTTTCAATTTTGTTATGTAATGCAACAAATAATAAATTTGTTAGGCAAAACAGTACATGTTGAACAGATTATAATGTTTTATAATGTTTTATAATGTTTCACGCGACTAATATTCTATATTTTATTCTACAATATGTTCACGCAATGTATCACAACGAATTATGAAACTAGCAAAATACCGGTGCCTATGCTCTTAGCACATGTAATATTGCTGTACTAATTACAATCAAACCTCTACATACCGTATATACCGTATATATTATATATAAGTGCGCACCTCCGTATTTGCACCCTATGCTTCATCACAATCAATATCATAAAACTATACTCTCTAAATGTACCAATGGATGCATACACAGAGATTTGACTGTAATTAAACTAAAATGGTGATATGCATCTGGAAACTTAGTAAGATTGCATGTAGCATCAGCTGGTGGTTTAGCCTGCTCGAAGCAGGCTATTTCTTGCATAAAAATTCAAAACAGTTCGACGTTAATTTTTATTTGGCCGATCTCAATCAGGGAGGAGTTATAACAACCAATACCACTTTTTTTTTTTTTTGATTAATTGGTACTTATCAACATGCATTATTCTCGTGAATATGGTGGAACGATATTTTGAAGCAGCTACTAAATGATGGGTCTGTTTGCATTGTTAATTCGGACAAACCTTTTTTAAAGTAATGAACTCCCTCCTCAACCATTTGATTATTAAATTTGAAGCTTGAATTTCTATTGCCCAGTAATTCACATGTCTTTAAACTGTATTTGCCTTGACATTTGAGTCCGGGTAACCTGTCATGTTTGGTATGATCTTGCTGTCTTTATTATATTGATTTTCGTAAGTCTCATAGTTATGTCTTGATCATAAATATCCAATTTAAGTTTCATAGGGTTATCTCATGGGCTATCCTCGCAACAACACTCTATGACTATCTTCAGCGCAATGGAACGTTTGCTTTAGTTTTCATATTAATTTGTTTGAGAGTATATGGGGTGAGTCAATAGAAATCAAGTAAATTTTTATAATAAACCTTATTTATAACTTTAAACAAGAATAGCTTAACAAAAACTTGACAAAATTTAATAAAAATTTTTTAAAATAATTTTTTACAAACTTGTAGAATTAATTTTAAAAAATTTTATTAATTTTGATTAAATTTTTGTTAAGTTATCCGTTTAAAAAATAACTTATTAAAAATATTTGCTTGATTTCTATTGTCTCAACCTCATATATAAATCCTATACTTTCTTGTTATTCAATGAATATCTGTGGACACGGTGTATTCCACAGGATAATAGTAAAATCACGTGGCCTTCGGCCACGTGGTTTACTATTATCCTGTGGAATGCACCGTGTCCACAATCGTTTTTTGATAGATCTGCGGTTGCTTTTCTGATGGCCTAAAATGTACCCTACGTTCTTGATGCATTTTTAGAATAGACTAATGCAATATTGTGTAACCTATGCCTCGCAGTCCTTTTTTTTTATAAAAATTTTTAAAATTAAATCAAAATATATTGGTAACCAACTAATCAAATTTTGTGAATTTTTTTTATTTGAATTCTGTGAATTTATAGTATTTAAATAAAAAAAAATTTATTAAATTTTGTCTGATAATTGTAGAGATATTTTTGTTCAAAATTAGATAAAAATTAAGATGCCTATTAAAATTAAACCTATGCTAATTTTTTAAAAATATTTAAGCAAAGATAGTAATTTGTTTGTTACAAACTGATCATTTTTAATTATTGTATAATCTTGCATATTAGGTATAGTAAATTGTTGTAACTTATTAATAGATAGTTGTTGTTGAATAATAGTTTTAGAAGTTTTAGCAAATATTTTTAATTTCTTAAAACTTGAATAAATATTCTCTTTTTGTCTATTCTATATAAAAAAAAAAATTAAAACTTTTTTAATACAAATTGTAAAGCAATTTTATATAATAATTACTTTGAATTTATACTTGGCTTTTTTAATACTTACTATCTTTCTTTTTTGTTCTAAAGAAATAATTAAAGTAGAAATTTTACTATCTGTATTGTCAACAACTACATGTAGTATATAACTAAATTGGTATAGTTTGGCAGACAACTTTAAAAATAATCTATTATTTGATTGCTGCTAATTTAACTCTAATAGTTAAAAAAGATTATTACAGATATTTAAATTATTTCTTGAATAGAAAATATATATAATTAAAATAAAAATTAATTGGTTTTATTTTAAAATCTTTAATATTAGTAATAGAAACAAAATACTTTCAGATTCATATAGACAAATAATTTCTTGGTATGCAATATCTACAGATCTATAATAAATCAAGTTATTT